GACGTCTCTGCGGAGATTATGTTCTTTTTACTTTTTTTAAACTTTTTTTTTATTTTAGCTTATTTAAATTAATTATTGTTTTGGTTTAAAAAAAAAATTATTATTTTTAAAAATATTTTAAATTAGGTGACCTGTTAGAAAGGGGAAAAACCTATAAATTAGACAAATTGCTTGAAATGTGTTAGTTTATGTTAAATATATTAAATATAATATATTTAATATAATATATATTAAATATAATATATCTATAATATATATTAAATATAATATGTATATATATTATATTTATATATATTGAGGAGAGAGAGAGAGAGAGAGAGAGAGGAATAGATAACTTGATTGATAATAAAAGCTTGAATACAAAGACTATTTATACTAGATAAGATAACTCAAATGCTAAAATTAAGGAATTAATGCTCTATGTAAAGCTAACATCATGGCCATGTACTGCACCTATAATTACTCCCATTATTTTTAACCAACTAACTCATCTTACTTGGTTTAATATAATAATAATAATATTATTATAACATTGCCTCCTTTAAACCAAGTTGGATATATTGGTCATCCCAATATCTCCTTCTTCAATTTAAGAAATGTCTCCGTCTTCAAGTTGGATATACGGACTTGTATTTCGTTCTGTAAACCCACTTTACTCCAATTGGCTTCTTCCCAAGAGGTACATCTGTTAACTCCCAGGTACCATTCTTCTCAATGGCACGTATCTCCTCATCCATCGCCTTAAGCCAATGAGTTTCTGTAGCAGCCTCCTCAAAATATAAAGGATCACAATCTGCAAAAAGAGCAAATTGAATAATCTCTTCATCCGACAAGTCATTATCATGACCCAAAACATAATCTTGCAAGCGAGCTGGTAAGTGGCGCTCGCGCTGAGATCGTCGAACTGACGACTCTGGTTGTGAAGGAGACTGGATATTATCTGGAATCGGTTGCTCTTCAACAATATTTTCAACAGCAGGAATAACAACTGAACTTTCATCTTTAGCTAACCAATCCCAAGCACCATATTCATCAAAAGTGACATCACGACTTATAACAACCTTTTTAGTTTCAGGATTGTATAGTTTATAAGCCTTTGAAGCGTCACTATAACCAATGAAAATGCATTTCTCACCTTTATCATCCAACTTCTTTCTCAATGGATCTGGCACATGTGCATTTGCCAAACATCCAAAAACCTTGAGATATTTGATAGAGGGTTTTCTCCCACTCCAAGCTTCTTCGGGTGTCTTATCCCGGACACTCTTAGTTGGACACCTATTCAACACATAGACAGCACAAGCAACAGCTTTGCCCAAAAAGGTTTAGGAAGATCCTTGGATTTCAACATGCACCTTACCATATCCATGATAGACCTATTCTTCCTCTCAGCCACTCCATTTTGTTGTGGAGTGTATCTAGCTGTCATCTGATGTTGAATACCCTTCTTCTTCAGAAAATCATCACAGGCAATATATTATGTACCTCTATCAGTTCTCAAGATTTTAATTTCATAACCACTCTGCTTTTCAACAAAAGCCTTAAATTGTTTGAAAACATCACATGCTTCAGACTTTTGCTTCAGAAAGTAAACCCATGTTTTTCTACTGAAATCATCAATGAAAGTAATAAAGTACTTACAACCTCCATGTGAGGGAACCTCCAACAAACATAGGTCTGAGTGAATAATCTCCAACTGTTTTGTAGCTCTCCTTGACTTGCCCACGGGAAAGGGATCTCTATGCTTCTTCCGAATCACACAAATCTCACAGATACGATCAGGGACATTCACAACGGGTAAATCAGAAACAAGTTCCTTTTTCGCAAGATAGTTTAATCAAGAGAAATGGAAATGCCCAAATCGCATATGCCATAACCAATTATCATCACAAACTTCAGAATTAAAGCAATCAAGGAGAGTATGCTTAATTTTCAAAGGAAATAGTCGATTTTGGGACATATTTACCTTTGCAATCAAAACTCCTTTAGCATCTTCAATGGTACAACACCCCTGAGCAATATCTATCTTATATCCTTCTTCTGACAACTGACCCATACTCAACAAATTTTGGTGTAGTTCAGGAACATAGAACACATCGGATATAAAATTGTGAGTACCATCCTTCAACTGAATAGAGATTTTACCTTTTCCCAAAATTGGCACCTTTGACTTATTGCCAAATGTCACTTCAGACTGGACTGATTCATCCAGTTCAGAAAACAATTCTTTCTTCCCACACATATGGTTACTACACCCAGTATCCAAGAACCATATGTTCTTATCTGCAGAAAAACTATCGCTGGCTAAAAGTAAAGTTTCAGAACTCTCACAAGACTTTTCAGCAGTATTTTCAGCAATGTTTGCTTGATTTCCACGGTTGTTGTCCTCATTATACCAACAATCCGCAATCTTGTGCCCATACTTGCCACAATTGTAGCAATGAAATGGAAATTTACCTTGTTTGGTATTACCTCCACCTCTTCCTTGGTTGGAGTTACCACGTCCTCCTCCTTGGTTGAAGTTACCACGACCTCTTCCACTAGAACCTCCTCTTCCTCTTCCACGACCTCTACCAGATCTTCCACCTCTTTGATTAGTGCCAGTCACATTAAGGGTGACTTGACTCTTCAAAGCTTCTTCTGCTAGTGGTTCCGATTTTGACGCAATCCTGTCAATATGACTTTCTACCATACCTTTCAGCTCTGCAATTGATAAGAGCTCGGTTTTGTGTGACTCTGTTATTGAAGCCACCACATGGTCATACTTCATCGGCATAGTTCGAAGAACTTTTTCAACCACTGCACCATCTTCAATTGTATCTCCGTATAACCTCATCTTATTCACCATATCAATAAGACGAGTGAAATACATATCTACTGTTTCTGTAGAGGTCATCTCACAATTATTGTACAACCTTCTCAACGACTGCAACTTAGACTTCTGTGCCCGATCGAATCCTTTGTGTGACACCTTTAAGATGTCCCAAGCTTGTTTTGCTGTTTGAGCACAAGCTAATTGCCCAAAAATGGAATAATGAACACCTTGGTGAATCTGACCCAAGGCCAATTTATCTCGCCGTATAGCGGCTGCATCAGCTCCTTCGGGTAGACCGGGATCAATAAAGCTCTAAAGATTTTGAGCTTGCAAATGTGTAGACATCATAATTTGCCAATAATTGTAATCGAGTTTCCCGTCCAATTTGGGACCCGTCCATACAATATTGAAATTTGCAGCCATATTTCACTACGGAAAATATCTCGGGGTTGAAAGGTTGACTGGCTCTGATACCAAATGTTAAATATATTAAATATAATATATTTAATATAATATATATTAAATATAATATATCTATAATATATAATAAATATAATATGTATATATATATTATTTATATATATTGAGGAGAGAGAGAGAGAGAGAGAGAGGAATAGATAACTTGATTGATAATAAAAGCTTGAATACAAAGACTATTTATACTAGATAAGATAACTCAAATGCTAAAATTAAGGAATTAATGCTCCATGTAAAGCTAACATCATGGCCATGTTCTGCACCTATAATTACTCCCATTATTTTTAACCAACTAACTCATCTTACTTGGTTTAATATAATAATAATAATAATATTATAACAGTTTAGGGACTTAATTGTAGTTTTTTTGAATTCAATGACCTAATTGTATTATCGTGTACGATTCGGTGGCCTATTTGACCCTTATTCCAAATATATATGACTAATAATAGTAACATGATTTTGACACTCTCTTTCAAGGGCTTTCTATCCTAATAGCCCGCGAAATTTAGAATGTGAATAAAATATTGGATAATGTCAATAGCAATTATAAGTAATACTATTGATCTACATACATGTCAAGAAAACAAGGTCAGCCTATTGATCCTGGAAGAGTAAAGGTCTAAGTGAGGGGAGTAATAGAGACTTCTATAAAAAAAAATTATATATATATATATATATATATATATATATATATATATATATATATATATAGAGAGAGAGAGAGAGAGAGAGAGAGAGAGCAGAAGTCTTAAACTTTGGTATATCCCCAACTTATCTTATATAACTTGTTTTGATTCAAGTTATATATATGACAACTTTGGTAATATAATATAACATTATTGTCACATCAAAAAATGAGTTGAAATAAAATAAAAGTAATGTGATTACTTATCAATATAAGAAAAGTAAATTTATTTTGGAAAAAACTGATGGATAAATTATTAAATTAAAATTCATAGATATTTAATTGATTAACTGTTGAAGAATAACAATCCAAGTCTGGACAGTAAACATTGCAGCCAGTCAACATTGCAGCCATCAGCTAAGGGTAGTTAAGGGTGTTTTGGTCTATCTTCCTCCCCTAGACGGTTATAACCGTAGAACTATCCCTTCCCGCTTTTATCCTCTGTATATAAGCCTTTCTTGCTGTATATTCAACTGATTTTCTTCCACCAATAATCAATGAAGTTCTGATCTCCTCCTATCACTTCTGCTTCGATCATGAGTTTCAACATGGTATCAGAGCGCCGCTCTTATGCCGCCGCGGTCTCCGCTGCCGGAGAAACAGTTCAGACGATGCATACCGCGTCCCCTACGACTCAGTCTCCCGTCCGAGCTTCACCAACGACGCGTTCACAGAATCCGCAGAGGAATCTGTCATCTCAAGCGCCGAGAAGCCTCAACCTGGAGGAGTCGGAGAATCCTCTGACGTTCAGCTCTTCCGATCATCCGTCCGCGATTCTCGTTAGCCCCCCCCCCCCCCCCCCTAACAGGAAGCTCCAATTATGGTTCGTGGAGTATCTCTATGCGCATCGCATTAGAGGTGAAAAACAAGTGGTGCTTCGTAGATGGAAGCGCCTTAGCACCAGAGAGAGACCATCGATTGTTTCCGGCATGGCGTCGATGCAATCTGATGATATGCTCGTGGATTTTCAAGTCGGTACATCCGTCAATTGCGCAAAGTGTTATGCATTTAGACAAAGCTATGGAGGTCTGGAACGATCTGAAACGGAGATTCTCACAGCGAGATGCCCAGCGAATATCCAGCGTTCAAAACGAAATCTACGGATTGAAACAAGGTAACCTCTCCGTTAATGACTACTACACTAGATGTCGCATATTGTGGGAGGAACTGAATACCTTGAGGCCATTACCTGTCTGTAAATGCATACCTAGATGTGCTTGTGCTTGTGACTTAGTTGATGAAATCAGAAATGAACGGGATGTGGATCAGGTCATCCGTTTCCTTCAAGGTCTAAATGAAGACTTCAATAGTCTAAAATCAAATATCCTTGTTCTTGATCCTCTACCAGAGGTTTATAAAGTATTTGTAATGGCCGAAAAGCTTGAAAGGCAAATTAATCTAGCAAGTTTGAATCTAGACAGTCTGGAAATCAATCAGGTTAATGCTGTTCAGAATAGTCAAGGCTCTGTGTCTGAAAATACCATAGCTGCTGCTGTGAACAATTCCAATTCCAATTTTAACAGACGAGGTAACGGGGGAAATAAGAGTGCTAAGTGCACATTTTGTGGGATGACTGGGCACACCGTTGATAGGTGCTACAAGAAGCACGGCTACCCTCCGGGATGGGTGTCGGGCTTCAAATCCAAGGGAAAACAACAACAATTTGCTGTTGCTGCGACTAACAATACAGGGAATATGGCTATAGATTCTGAGCAGTTACAAAGGATTATTTCCCTTCTCCAAACGCAGGTTGGACAATCTTCTAGTCCCAACACCACAGCAGCAGTATCATTAATCCCCAAATTCAGTGAAGTGCAGTCAGCAGATGAAGGCAAGCAATCCATGCCTCATATTAACTCTATCTTGATAAATTCTTCTTGTTGGATTCTTGATTCAGGAGCTACCAATCATATTGTTTGTTCCCTGGATCATCTTGTTAGTCATCGAGTTGCTGTCAGAACAGAAGTGAGCTTACCAACCGGAAAATGCATCCCTGTTGAAAACATAGGAGATGTCAAGCTTAATGATGATTTGTGGCTAAAAGGGGCCTTGCATATTCCCACCTTTCAGTTCAATATCATATCAGTGAGCAAGCTTCTTCAGGATACTCCATACAAACTAATCTTCATGTCTGATGAATGTGTTATTCAGGGGATTCATGGAACAGTGGCTGGTATAGCTAGACAGGAAATGGGATTATACATGTTGATGTAGCCGCCCAGTTTGCCTGTCAAAAATTTTGCTTTACAATGTACTAGTAGTGAGGTTTGGCACCAAAGATTAGGGCATTTCCCAATCAATAAATTCCACCTCCTAAACAATGTTCATGTCTATAGTAATAAAAGTGTGGCATGTGATGTATGTCACCTAGCAAAACAGAAACGTGCTTCATTTCCTATAAGTACTACTGCTTCAACTACTTGCTTTGAGCTTCTGCACATAGATATATGGGGCCCCTTTCCCGTTTGTTCCCAAAAAGGGGAACGTTATTTTCTCACTTTAGTTGATGACTATTCCCGTTTTACTTGGCTGCGTCTGATGAGAAATAAATCTGAAGCTAAACAGTTTATAAAGTATTTTCACACCTATGTTTGTACGCAGTTTGGGTCCCTAATCAAAGCTATCCGTAGTGATAATGGTTCAGAATTTCAGATGGCAGATTTTTTCAGAGAAAAGGGCATCATACACCAAAGATCTTGTGTCAATACTCCACAACAAAACGCTATTGTTGAGCGTAAACACCAACACATTCTCAATGTTGCAAGAGCCCTCCGGTTTCAAGCTCATCTCCCACTTGAATTTTGGGGGCATTGCGTCACGCATGCCGTATATATAATCAACCGGCTCCCCTCCCCTATCATTGCGGGTTCTAATCCCTTTCAGAGGCTTTATGGGGTTAATCCGGACATGAGCAGGTTCAAGGTGTTCGGTTGCCTCTGTTATGCAGCCACTTTATCTAATTCTAGACACAAGATGGCTCCACGGGCTCGGAAGTGTTTATTCATTGGGATACCGGCAGATGTGAAAGGATACTTGTTGTATGATATTGGTGAAAGCACGACTTTCATATCTCGTGATGTTATTTTTTATGAAAGTGAGTTTCCTTTTGCAGACCATATTGATCATCCTGATGTGCCACAATATCAATGCCAGCCGTCCCTTCCTCTTGTTCCAATAGATGACAACATGCAGAGTGGCCAGGGAAAATATTCCATGAATAAGAGTCACCAATATCCCATGGACAAGAGTCCTAATGAGCAGCAGCATCCCATGGATAACAGCTCTCACTTACAACAGACTCCAGTGGATAATGCACATCCTTGGCAGCAGAATCCCATGGATAATAGTCTTCCTCCATGCTTGGATACCACCCCTCCACATGTAGAGTGTAACAATGATGATACTTTAACACAACAGAGGTCTGATGACACGGCTGTTCCCACACTCCAAATTAGACAGTCATCCAGAATCAGACGTGCACCAAGCAAACTCCAAGACTACTATTGCCAAGCTGCCATGATCAGAGGCTCTTCTCCTCACCTTCTCTCTAAGGTTATCTCATATAACAATCTTGCTTTACCTCACAAGATTTTTTCAATGGCTGTTACTTCGGCTGCAGAGCCTCAAAGCTACAATCAGGCCATACAATCTGCTTGTTGGAAAGATGCCATGAATGCTGAGATAAAGGCTCTACAGGAAAATCAAACATGGGAACTTACAGATTTGCCTCCCGGGAAAAAGCCCATAGGTTGCAAGTGGGTGTATAAGGTCAAGCTGAAAGCGGATGGATCCATAGAACGTTACAAGGCAAGATTGGTCGCAAAAGGTTTCACTCAACAACTGGGGGTTGATTATATAGAAACCTTCTCCCCTGTAGCAAGAATGACTACCATTCGTTCTTTTCTAGCTGTGGCTGCATCCCGGAGTTGGCATATCCAACAGCTCGACATTAATAACGCTTTCTTGCACGGTGATTTGGACGAAGAAGTCTATATGGTGTTGCCTCCGGGCTTTCAAGGGGACAAACCAAACCAAGTATGCAAACTTCTTCGTTCTCTCTACGGGCTCCAGCAGGCTAGCCGGCAGTGGAATGCGAAGCTCACTACTGCCTTAACAAAGGAGGGATTCCAGCAGTCTAAGGCCGATCCATCCCTATTTACAAGAGGACATGATGCTAGCTTCATTGCCCTCCTAGTTTACGTGGATGACATTATTGTTACCAGTGCTAACATGTCTTTAATTCACAAGCTCAAGGTTTTTCTGGACAGTGTATTCAAGATTAAAGACTTAGGCAGCTTGGGCTATTTCCTTGGAATAGAGGCACAGTTAACAGAAAATGGTCTCAACATATGCCAGCGCAAATATGCTCTGGATATTCTTGAAGAGTCAGGGTTCACTCACAGTAAGCCTGTGAGCACGCCAATGATACAAAATCAACATCTCACACATGATGATAGTCCTAATCTTGGTGATATTGGCAGCTACAGACGTTTAATAGGCAGGTTATTATACCTAACCGCAACTCGCCCGGACATTGCTTATACAGTTCAATAACTAAGCCAATTTGTTGATGCTCCTACTGAGGCACATATGTCCGCTGCTCATCGTCTTCTACGCTATCTCAAAAGTGCTCCAGGTCAGGGATTACACTACCCAAAAAACGGGAATATGCAGCTCACAGTTTTCTCTGACTCGGATTGGGCGACTTGTGCGGAGACACGAAAATCCATCACTGGCTTTTGTGTGTTCCTTGGATCAACACTCATCTCCTGGAGATCGAAGAAGCAGGCTACGGTCTCTAGATCATCTTCCGAAGCGGAGTATCGTGGCCTTGCTACAACTGTTTGTGAAGTACAATGGATTAAGTCCTTATTGCGCGATCTCCAAGTTGAAATAGACAAACCAGCAGCACTCTTTTGTGACAACAAAGCAGCCATTGCCATCTCCGAAAATCATGTGTTTCACGAGAGAACGAAACACATAGAAATCGATTGTCACGTTGTCCGTGAAAGAGTAACACAAGGCCTAGTTAAGTTGCTATACGTTCCATCCTCAGGGCAGGTTGCAGATGGATTCACCAAGCCTTTACCCACTGCTCAATACCAGCTATTCACCTCTAAGCTGGGCACACAAGACTTGCATGCTCCAGCTTACGGGGGGGTGTTGAAGAATAACAATCCAAGTCTGGACAGTCAACATTGTAGCCAGTCAACATTGCAGCCATCAGCTAAGGGTAGTTAATGGTGTTTTGGTCTATCTTCCTCCCCTAGACGGTTATAACCGTAGAACTATCCCTTCCCGCTTTTATCCTCTGTATATAAGCCTTTCTTGCTGTATATTCAACTGATTTTCTTCCACCAATAATCAATGAAGTTCTGATCTCCTCCTATCACTTCTGCTTCGATCATGAGTTTCAACATTAACAAATTTTAGAAAGTAAGACAATGAAATTCATAAGTATTTAAGGTTTAGCTATTTAATCTAGGAAAGAATGGTCAAATTGGCCCCTAAGCAAATTTATAATAACTATCAACTTTGTGTTTGGGGAAATTCTGGAGGTGAAAAGAAAAGAGGAAGCTAGCTAATCAAAATGTTTAAATGGGTTGTTGGGGCTGATCGACTGAGAAATTAGGATTCATTAGGGGAGCAGTCTCATCAATCTTCTCTACTTTCTTTAAATTGTGTATAGTGTTTTACATGGTGTAGATAGTAAAGATTGTACTCCTTGTGCTTATTGTGCCACCCTTTCCCCCCTTGTGCTTTATTAATCACGAGAGTGACGTGGTTCGTAGCTAGACTAGGATATCTACGTGCATTTCCACTTGATTCCTTGGTTATTTGTTCTCCGTAATCGCATAGGTTGTTGAAGTATCTAGATGATAATGCTCCCTAGCTTGAGTCCTATTTCTTTATTTCGTGTTTATCTCTTGTTAATATGTGTTCGTGTTATGATTTGCTTAGTTTCTTGTTAGTTTCCTTATGCTAGTGCCTAGTTTCTTGTGATTGCATATTGCGTGTCATATCCCCTAATCGCCCAAGGACGACATTTCACACACGTACACTCACTATCAATCATTTTTGCTACAATAATTAGTGACCATTGAAATTTGTAAGAATAGAAAAAATATTATGTAAATTGCCATTAAATTTTACAGAATAGAGAAAAACATTATGTAAAACAGCAAGTCTGATTTATATTTTGATGGGTCAATTTTAAATTATTAAGAAAATATATACGCTTAGGTAATAAGACACAAAATATTTAAGGTGTCACTTGACCCACTGAAAATAACATAACTCCCACTATGCGAATAAAATACTAGCAGAAAATTATAACTATAACAAATTGGTGGAAATTAAAATAGATTTTAAGAAGGTGGTATAAGTCAATACTACTTAGTAATAAATTCATACAAATGGATAGAACAAAACCTTAAATACAGATGAGATCCTACAAAAATTTGAGTTAGTTAATCTTTTTATTTTTTTCAAAAATAAATAAGTAAACTTTGCATTAATCAAAACCCTTAAGTACAAGAGACCAAAACTCCAAAAGTGGTCTTAATGCCAAAAAGCTAAGGTACAAAGACCCTTACTACATCTACAAGCTTTTATTAACTCCCCCAACATTGCTACCCGGCACTACAAAGCCATTCTTCATTGTGCCTCCCCTTACCTTGTATTCATAGTAAGGTGCGAGTGGGCAAGCCCATTTAAATAATTAAACACAAGAAAATACCAAAGAGATGAAGTTAGTCAAAACACTCAAAGTCAAGCAAGCAACAAAATGATCCTTGTCACAAGTCTGCCCTAACGAATGGAACCGATCGACCCTTAAATTGCCCAAGAACAGGTTCCACAGCATAACTATTGTATTTTGACGATTAAACTTGTTCAAATCACTTGAACTTAAAACTTGTTCAAATCACTTGAACTTGGCCTAATTCATAATTAGGACCCGGGATTTCAAATAATTGAACTTGAGACCTCTCACACCCTAAGCAAGAATCATACCACTAGACCAAATGCCCAATTTGAATAGTGTCTAATTGGAAGTAATATAATACTAAACCTGTTTAAATCATGAAGGTTGATAGACAACTCTCATTAGAAGTCAAACTTGAAAGCTTGCACTTACTAAACCAATTATCCAACTAACTCGGTTAGGGGTTGAACCGCATGTATCCCCAACTTATCTTATATAACTTGTTTTG